GCCACCCGATACATTGGTTAGGCATGCTGCGTCGACTGTAGATCGCGTGTTTAGTCGTTCAACTCGTTCATTTAAATTTATAATATTCTTGTATCCAATCGCAGAACAGTACAGTAGTCAATTTGAAAAGTGCGGGAAGAGGGGAATGTGACACGAGATGCGAGAGTTTTACACTATAAAGGCAGGGTTGCCATCACTGCGTCCTGTACGTGCTCTTGGTCAACGCGCTCTCGTCTTCAAAAAACAAGAACGGGAAAAGTTTCCATAAGTTTCTCTTAGTCGAATCAAGGATTTAAACATTATTTGAAAAGAGAGAGGCAGAAAAACATGGCTTAAAATTTCAAGAAAATGCACACAGAGAGGAAAATGAGTGCTCTGGCATTTGCCGCGAAATCGAAAGGGAATCCGTTCTGGCGAGCGTTGACGAGTAAGTCAAGCGTGAAAACCAGGTCAAGATTTGCCTGCCAATAGATGATGAAAATGTATCCCCCGCATGCAATGGAAGCGTCTTCGAGACCTGTCACCCATCAAAACGTTTCGGGTACCGCGAGTTCTTTCAAGTCAGAGGCATGGAAGGAATCTGACGCACGTGCCAACGCGAAGAAAAGCCTGGCCCACGGTTTGATCAGGGTTCCCACGGAATTCTCCTCAGGTATGAGGCGTATTTGGAGAGACTTGTAGGAAACGAACCACGCGAACGCGTCGTGTTTGCTAGTTCTGTGGATTCACAGCGTTAATGAGAGAGGACGGAATAGCGCAGAAAATGAAGTCGCGCCGAAAATAAATGACTGGGGGTTCCCGTGCCGACAGGCGGTGAAAAAATATTCGCCCACGTTCCCCCAACAACGTTTCGAGCCTCCGGGATCCAAAACCGGGAAAACCGAGATGACGGCGAAGACTTCGATTCATTACGCTGAGACGCGGCAACCCTCTTCTCCGAAAAAAAAAGGCCCGCAGTAAGAGAAGAACATAAAACTCAGAGAAAGTGTTGGGTGCGGGGGGACTGAATCCAGAGCCAGATGCATATGCATGACTTTACGAGTCTGGTCGCAACACGCAGTCGGGGAGCATAACAGTCACCCCAAAGCGGCGTGTCAACACATGGGAGCGTATTCTCGCGTTAAAATTCGACTAGGACAAAGAGAGCTGAGGGCACGATTCTTACAACCGTCTGGTTTTCGAGCGGTGATTTCAGGCTGGCAGTTCCAGGGATCGACGTAGATAGCTCAAGGGAACTTCAGTGTCTGCATGCGACCCATGTCATCTTATTCCAAATACAGTACGTAAGTATGCGAAGGACGCCGGCACGAGCAATCCAAGTTCAGATCCAACGCTTCGAGAATCAAAATGAATACATCAGATCATATCTTGCAAGTATCAGATATTATCCTAAATCCCAAGAGAACTCCGAATACTTTTCGATTTCCTCCGTTCTGAGGTTACTTCAACTTCATCAAGTACTTGATTCATCTGGGTTTGAATAGGGAAGTTATGGTCCTCTTCCGAATAAAAATATTGTGTTTCACGGAACACTTTTATGAAGCTTACCCATACACCGAACTGGAGAAATTCAAGCGAAAAAAAAAACTGCTGGCACGATACGGGACTATTTACTGTTGTTACTATATAACAGAAGTTCGCGGTATCATTTTTTCCTAGCCATGTATTTACCTAATTTATCCTAGTAATTTACCCACTATCACTCGAGTACCACGCATCCTCAGCAGCAAGACTCGCATTTTCATTTCTTGGCGAGGACTTTGCCCAAAATCGTGTTTGCATATAGCCCGCACGCCGATTTTTTGGCTGGAAATCTAAATTCATTTATAGAATAATCATTAGTAACAATAACAACCTCATAATAAAAGGAAGAACTTGCTAACCTTCGACTTGAACTAGTTTGATTTCATGATACATTATTTTTTAAATTTATAAATAGCTATATAGTCTGTACTAGCATACCACGCGCAACTCCACTTTTCTGCCCTGATTTTCCAGAAAAAAGGTTCGCGCGGTACTCGCCTAAATACATTATTCTTTCAAGACGAGTCACTGTTTGTTTATCATCCATCTCTCGGTCATTCAGCAACACCTATTATATCAACTCAAATTTAGGATTTCATCTAAAATTCACAATTTATAAACACTACATTAACTTCTTGAGCATTCCAAATTTTGCTCAAAAAGCGGAAATTTCCTGAATTTAATGCAGCATATTATTTTGAGTGACTTCTCGTATTTCAATCAGATTCGACTCCTTACTTTAGCTTGCGCGCGACACATTCATAAGCCCACCTTCACAAGGAGGATTTTGCTTAAGACTTTCCCAGATGTCCACAAACCAAATGTCAAAAAGCCGTTTATTGGAACTGCTGAGAGTCCTGATATAAACTCATCACCTCAACAACAAAAAACAATGTGCGCTGTGAAGACAAAATGAGATGGAAACCAAGGGAAGAAAATGACGTCACGGCTATCTCAATAGGGCGAGAATGTCGAGGGTGCCCAGGAATCCGACGACAGCGAGCGTGCGACTGCGAGTCATTCCCGACAACCGCGGATAACATGCGACGCGGCGCACGTCAACAAGCCATCAACCAAGTATTCGCGAAACGGAAGGAAACCGGGCGGCGGGGGCGAAAAACGTGCTGTTAATTATGATGCTGAGAATGCTTCTCCCTGCTAACAAGCACAAGCACTGTTCATCACTTCGCTCAGGTGCTAACGCCCCCCCCCTTTCTACACACATTTTTTCCGCTTTCTGACTGCCAGAAACCCACTGTCACCATGTTTTGAAACAACTCAAGCACCAATTTTTCCTCGCCGCTGCTACAGTTGCGCGCCGGCGCCTCAACCCATTGTCGCACCCTGCTATCGCGACAACATTTCTGTTCTGCTCAGAAGCAGCGGCTCGACCCTTCCGACGCTGTCACATGATGGACATAGATTTCCCACTCGCTATGGACTTCAGTTCGACGACGATAAGTTTCGTCACCCGTCGATTTATCGTGTGCAGAAAACAGAGATGCGGCGGGTCCACGGGGGCTCGACAAGAAGATGCATGGGATGAAGCGAAGAGAGAGAGCGAGGGAGGAAAAAAGAACAGGAGAAAAGAAAACAACAAGACCAGATTGAAGCCGCAGCGATAACTCGATCCCTTCCTATCGCCCAATGTGGGCAACGACTCCTGATAGTACTGCGAGGTCATTTCCCGCTATTAAGTCATAAATTAACTCGGTTGGAAATTCGAAAACAAACGCTCATTTCCAGCAGATGGGTCCGTCGGTATTTTTTCAAGCTCAAAAAACTTTCGGAATCGAAAACCCTCGGCTCGGACATAAATACTGGCATCATATACCAGGAGCTGGCAGGGAAGTTCATCAATACGCCAGACGCATCGCACTCGGCGAGCGATGCTATAATTTCGTTTCAATTTTTACCATCGTCGTTAAATTGCACATTGATGTATATTACATTAGGATCACTCCGAGAGTAACCGATCAGTGCATTGAAATTACACAGGTTTCGACTAAACATAAAAATGTGAGAAATAATAAACAAATTGAATCAGCATGGAAGTTCCAATCACTTCAAAAACGGGCGAAAGCCACGGAAACCGCATCGTGCCTTCTGCACGTCTTATTCCGAACGCTCATAAACATTCAGAACACCACAATGGAAACCTGTGAATGCAATTTACAGCTCTTGTCGGTTCTTACAAGAGCTTCAGTTATTATTTGTTTTATTTGCGGATTCAAGGTTGAATGCAGGATCATTTCCAAATTCCGGCACGATTATTTCCGCGGATTCGAATACATTTAATGGCGTCGTGAGATAACCACCCATATCGCGGTCTTCACAAAAATAATAAATTCGAGTTCGTGAATAATTTCAGTGTAAGAGACACTACAGTATGTCAGAGTTTGATTAATTAAACTCGAATCGTTTGGAACCGTGCTTGCTCCGGGGGAGAAAATAGAGATGTTGGGAAGCACGAGTCGGCATAGACATTGGACAATTAGGCAAATTTAAAGTAAATTTTTCATACGGTTATATAGTCGGGCTGATTTGCTGAGCGCCTATTGAAGCCAAAGGTGTATTTGTATTTAATAATTTCCAACCAACTACCGCATCAACTGAAAAAACCTTTTTTTTCAACATTTTGCTTAGTTGAATAAGGGTGTGTCTCATAATCGACGTCGTCCCATCTTCAGATGCATTTTCAATTCACACGAAAATGTATTACTTCCGAATTTCGAACAATTTAAAATGAACTAGCAAAAAAATCAACCATAACCTGCAATTGAACAAAGCCTATCTATATAATTTACAGTTTCGTCATCACAAGTCACTTCATCTCTAACCTGCAACATAAGTATGCAGCAGGATTATTTCGGAGCAAGCACATCGCACAAGAGCAAGTCACAAAGGAGGTATTCTTTCATTTCGCACGCACTTCTGGATCGTTCTTCGAATCAAACAATAGTGTTCATGTTCAAAATCTTGAAATAGAATGAGGGTGTAATAAAGTGCATGAAGTGAGACCTGGATGACACAGAAGCGGCTTCAGATGAGCCGTATTCACTTCTTCAGAAGAATATTATTGATAATGCTTCTTGGATTCGCAGGCAAAACGATTCTCATTTTTTAGCGCACACAAAAATCCCTGCATTCGCGCGAAAATAAATAAATTCCACGTCGAAAAGCAGTCATGAACAAAGCGCTTCATTTGCGGATTGCGGGCTCCCGTTACAGAGGGAGAGATCAGTTCGAACTCATTATGGCAATTGTTTTCTACCCAACGGACCGATACCGCGATCCCTGCATTATTTTTCTGTTTTGCCGGGAAATCAAGTGGTTAACAAACCGCAGCTCTTTCCGAAGCGTCTTTTTAATTTAGAGAAAAGAATGATAACTCACCTTCAAGACTGAAGAAAGCCGCCAAGCGTTTGATTGCAGAATGCCTGGGTATCACAGCGGACGGATCAAGGGCATCGGCTTCAAATGTATTCCGACGGCACGAAGGACCGACATCGATGATCCATATGCATGTTACCGCGCTGGTGTTGACTATCGATCATATGAACATGATTCGGGCACATACACGGGTGATGATTGATCACAGTCATTGGACGATTCGCGGGCAGTTCGAACAGTTCCCGATCCGACGCCTGCGTTTGCCCAGTACTCAGCAAGAAGCTGCTCTCAGTGCCCGTGCTGGCAGGACTGGAAGGCTGCGGCGCGTGTTGAGCTGCCGCCAGCGGGCCCGACGACGACACCATGATCCCAGAGTCGGATCCGCTGCCGTTCATGGCGTCCGTGCCGCCGTCATCGCGATTCACCTGCCGCTGCGAAGGCCGCCGAGTGAAATCCTCGCCGTCAGGGTGAACGTGTTGGCGGTGGTGATGCACGTGGTGGAGCTCGACGAGATGTGGATACGAGTGTTGTAGCGGCATGCGTGGCGGCGGCGGGGACGGTGGTGTCGCATTCGGCGGCGCCACGATCGTCTCCGCCAACGGGATGACCCAGCCGCCTCTGCCCGGCTGCGGGAGCCTTGCGCCGCGCATGCGCCCACAGTTACACACGTTGGACGCCCGTGGCGCAGAGAACCAGTGGTGGTGGTGCGGCACGTTCCGCGCCGGATGCATGGCCAGCTGTAATCCCGGCACAGGCCGCACGCCCGGACCGAGAATTTCGTGCGGGTGATGCAACCCGGGCTGAGCATGATGATGGTGGTGATTACCGCCGCAAATAGTCGCCACTTCCACGGACGCTTGCGACGGCGAGTGCCGCCCCCCACGATGACTGTTCACCGACGCGTCCGAGTAATACGCGCTCGAGGGATTCGAGCCCTGTTCCTCGACATTGCCGTAGGCACTACTCAACCCGCTCCTGTCCGGGATCTCGCAATACGTATTCAGTTCCGCGTATGTGGCTCCACTGGCGTTGTATTGCCCATCCGAATAGGACTGGAAGTCGTCGGGGGAACCCAGACCGGGCTCCTGAGCAGACCTGCCTCGACGATGCGTGCACAGCTTGAGCGAGAATCCGACAGCGGAGTTGACGCCGGTCTTGGGTCTGGCACCGGGGTTGGTTTCAGCACTGCGGCCTCTATCAGACCCACCCCGGGTCCTCAGTGCAAAGATATTGAGCCAATCTGTCGACGGGGAAGAAAAAAGAATACGCGTCTTGCTCAGGTGGAACATGATAATCAAGAGACCGTCAATATCTTGGCCACCGGCACCGGCACGCACACGGAAAATCACGATTTTACGGCACCGCTCCCGGCAAGCCCACACCGCTTATAAGCCACTCGGAGGAACCCGAGCCCAAACCAACACCATCGCTACGAGAATGACACGGGAAGCATGAATAATTACGATGACGCGAAACGGAGCAGGCGGCGTGCAAAGGCAACGCCCGCCGGGTCTACGGTGTCAAGAAGGAAAATGCTGGTCCTCAAGTGGCACCGTTGCATGTCGGGATTGCCCAAGTTGACACTTCTATTCACTCTCATTAGCCTCTCCCACAAAAATTCGGACCATAGGAGGGTCCCCGTGAACACCCACGGGCGGTCAATCCGGCACGCAGTTTGGATGCCGAATGCCTTGCACCTGCGTAATGACTGAATCGTAGCTGCGTGCCGGGCCCTTGTCAGCAAGACAACACGGCTAATAAGCTGGCCATAATTAATGAACTCTGTCCACGAACCCCGCAGATAAGTGCAGTCGATTCAACGCGACCTCTGGACAAGGAAACACCCTGTAACGGGAATTAAAATCCCTTCCGCCTGAAATAAAAACGTTATCGCTAACAGAGGATCAGATTACCTATCCAAGGGACCATAGAGCTCACGAAGGCTCGAAGTACAACAGAATTGCACGGAAGGAGGTAAATTTTTCTCGCAAAACGGGCAGGTGTAATTCAACACAAAAAAATTAATTCACTACGCTGCCAAGTAGCCAGCAAGGAAATCGAGATAATAGACTTGTCTTGCGCCTCGAGGAAACAATTATATCGGAAGTGTATAATGGCTCGAACTTTCCATTAAAAATCGGACGCGATTATTCAGCAGACCAGCGCATTACCCGCGTCGTGTTTCGAGGTGCTCGCGAGCTCGACCACGATGCATGTGAATTGCGTGAGATCTCTCATGGCAGCATTTCCCGTCGTATTTTCCATGTTCGATTCCCCAAAGAGGATATTTGAATACCAAAAACAGTTATAAAACTCTCTTTTGACATGATTTGGCATTCAACCCAATTTTAATCTTTACATTCTGTGCTCGTCGGAATTTTCGAAGAAGGAAAAAGACGTGCCCCGACTCTAACCGTTTAAATACAGTAAACCACATTCGGGATGTAAAAATCCGTCATTTAACGTTTAAAAAAACTTTATTCTACATTCGACCCGCATAGGAATAGTTTTAGATACAGTAGACGTTGATGTTGAGACAGTAAATTAAAAATCCCATTCGTGGCAAAAAAATTAGTTTGAGAGAATGATTTCAATACCTACCCGAGATCCACCATTAAAAAAAATAACCCGTTCTACAAAAATAACAAGCGGTCTATTCGTTTATCCAACATCCATAACACCATTAATGGACAATTATTATTGTTTCATTCCATCAGATTTCTTGGTCGGCATTTATGGATATCTCTCCATCTCTCTCTCTCACGAGGAAAACTCGAATAATGCAAATCGTACATGCATAGAATATTTCAGCGATTTCCTCGTGTAATTGAACACAAAACTTGGGGAATCAAATGAATATAACAGTAGTGGCTTCCAAATATGAGGGATAATTCCCCCAGAGCTACTCTTCAGACTTTTCGACCACTGGGAAATGAACAACAGTATTCTCATGCGTTTTTGTAGATGCAGAGCAGGACTACCACAATCCATTACCCATATCATGGGTTATTATGGGTCATCATTAAAGTCCCATCTAGCTGGCAATCCAGAAAACTGTCCCGAAATTAAAAAGAAAAGCACCAGTGGAGAGGAGAAAAGTAAAAAAGGAAAACTTCTGTCCATTCTCCTATGATCTGGATGAATTTCAACAATTTATGTCCACGATAATTCAAAGTGTTCTGTTTTGAAACTGTGTCCCTAAATATAAGCTCAGGAGTATATTTGCACAGTTTACGTGCATAGCCTTTAGCTTCAATCTCTCCATTTTCGCTATCTTAAGACAACCTACAGCGAATCAATCGATGATTCATTTTCTGTGGTATGCTAACTAGGGCAGTGTTGCCAAGATCGCTTTGCAAAGATTCCATTGTACATTTAGTACATCCAAACAAGACTCGTAGATTTCAGTTCTTGGACAGCTCTTAGATCAGGAGACATCTCGTATTTTACCGAAGACTTTTCAACCTTATTCTGGCTCATGGCCACTTTCCAAGCTGAGAACTGCTTGTGAAGTACAGTATTGTACCACCTGCGGCTAACACTTACAGGAAGTATATACAGTACAGTAATTCTCAATAAGAAGAAGCGAAAATTTAACACTAACATAAAATTCCTTCAAAAGTAGCTTTATAGTCCAGAAAAACCTTATGGACCACCTGTCAGGATGCATGAGCGGTATGCGAATGAACGGTTCGAAAGGCTTTTTCTGCACAGCTGTATGTCGATTCAAAAATTAGTGCTTTCTGAGCGCAAATCCAGAGAATCAGCTCTTAATTTCCAGATAACTCCTGAAGCCTGCAGTACCAAGAACCAGGCGTGGCATGTATACATGGAGATTGGAACAGAGTACCCCATTTCAGGATATAAAGTGACAAAAGAATAAAGGGGGACAGGAAACCCGACGGAATGCAGTTGGATCATCAATCGGCGGGACGAGAACACACAGCTCGAGGCGGATTTCGCTCTGGCCCAGATCCGTTCGAGTGAAGTTATCGTGACCAGTACCTCTCCGTCAAGCATCCGGTCGTCAGTAAAATCGAGCGTGTCGGTCCACAACGCTATCGGGAGGCTATGAAGCTCGTCGGCAGGTTAATTATGCTCAGCACGAATCCCCGAGCCCGCCGGTGAACGGGTCTCGATCACGGGGCCCACGAGACTCGCCGGGGTCTCAGGCGATCATTCGCAACAACACTCTCCACTGCCATTGACGTTATGAGACGGAATTTCGGCAATGCGTAAAGCTTGATGCTTAATTTACGGCGTGATCCAGTCAAAGCACACCTCATTAAGCACGGGCAAACCGTTCTCGTCCGACTTCGCAATCAAGACAGATGTGAACTAAGCCGTCGGCAGTATCCCGAGCTACAACTCAATTCTCATCTCTGCATCGTTCGTCTGATCGGCGGGCGTCATTCATCAAGCCCATGCGGGAATAAAATACTGAGCGAATGCCCTGTGGCTATGGACCACGTGGTTTCCACCGCATGGCTGATGCGGCTCTCGCCAACACCAGCACTGCGCGAGAGCACATCTGCAAGCTTCATCAAATAATCTTGTACCACATATAATAGATACTTGCCGACGTGCTCATGCGCTGACATCGATTTGACTCGGAGATGCACTCGATTAATTTTTGCACCACATTGTCTTCTCGTCAGGCCGGGTTCCTCTACTCCTTTCGAACAATTGCGACCTTTTTTTTTTGGAAGCCGAAGAGCTTCGTAAATATCCCTCACCCGACAGCTCGTGCAGTTAGCCGGACAGATGTAAAAACCGAGTTCAGTACGGAGAAAACCAAGCCCACGGGTACCCACCATGCAAAGGTACGCATTCAATCAAACAAGTACGCAGGTAAACAAGGAGAAGTACGAGGATAAGATTTGCATACTGACAGAAAATGCGTATGTATGGGCGTTACAGAAAGTAATGGCCAAGAAAAAGCGTGCGATACCCCGAGGCAATAAAAGTGTTAGGTTCAAATATGTCCGACCTCGTGCTCGACGGCACGCCATACCACACACGTCCGGGGCGAGTATTGAAAATGCTTGAGTGTACTCACTCTTTCCACATCCGTTCGGGGTTCTGGAACAAAGAGAAAACAGGAACAATCGTCAGTAAGCTTCACTTGAGGAAATTAAATCAGAGACGCAATAAAAATCACCGAAAAAGCTGTTAACCGACACAATTCATTCGTTACAGAATCATTCACGTGCTGGGTCGGAACACAGTCTCGCCAACAAAGGGGAATCATGAAACCGGAGCCGCGGCGGCGTCAATCATTCGATTTCATCCCTCCTACCGACCGTCATGGAAAGATGAGAAACTGCAGTCGCGATTCAATGAAACGCGTCCCCGCGGTCCGGAAACCCACATATGTTCAAGCATCCACCAGCACAGCAGCCGGGTTTTGCAAAAACAAAAAAAAAGCACCCCAGCCCGGAAATCTTGGTTCATCGAGTGCAACGCGAGCCACGCGACAGAGCCGACAGAAACCCCCTTACAGAGCGACTACAAAAGCCCTCTGCACCGCACGGGAATGATTTGACTGACAAGTGATGTCACGTTGCCGTCAGATCTCCCGTAACAATCACCCAAAGGATAATGAACTAAAATCCGGAGGTCCTCCGCATATTTCTTTTCCCTTCGACTGACTCCCAGCCGGCCGCATCAGATTATCGAAACGAGCCGATTCCCAGTCCCTACTGGCTACCCATTATCGCGGCGGACAAGTTTCAGAGTTCCGTCGAGAATGCTTCCAAACCACTGTTGCAATTATGAGAAAAAAGTGCAACAATAATACGCGACAGGCAGGAAAAAACCTCTACTCCGATAAGCGACCGACCATTCATTCTGCTCTGGTGCAGTGGGTGGTCGACCTCGGAAATGCCTGGAAAATTATTGCATAATTCCTTACCAGAAGGCCAACATTTTTTTTTTTAATCTTAGCATACAAAGCAATACTATCCTAAATCCAGCGAGCAAACGTACTTTTAAAGACCGACTCTTCGAAATAGTAATAATCTTTCATGCCCTCCTATGACTGAAAAACAATTTTCTCCGAATTTTACTTCTCGAGAGAGTAGCCTGCGCTTTTACTCAATAGTAAAATGCTATGCAAAATCGAAAATAATCACCTAATTCCGCGCGCAATCAGCAAGACCTTTGGTAAGGATGTGAATATATCCCTCACCACAAATCGAAATCCTTCCATTTTATTGATCAAGTTCAAGCTCTGTCAAAAATGCGATGCTTTTGAGTAAATATGGAGTTGACCCGATTTTGTCGACTA